GTCTACCCGAGGGAGATTGAGGAGGTGCTGCACACCCATCCGGCCATTCTTGATGTTTATGTGAGTGGTTTATGTGAGCAAGCAAAACTTGGTGATTTTGAGTTGTTTTTCTTTTTTTGCTTTTTAGGTCGTCGGCGTTCCTGATCCCCGAAAGGGTGAGGTGGGCTGTGCATGGATTAAGCTGGTTGACAAAAATGCTCCCATTTCAGAAGAAGAGCTGAAGAAATTCTGCCAAGATAACGTAAGCGATACTTGAACTTTTTGTAATTTGTCTAATCATCCTTTATTTTTAGTTGGCCTACTTCAAAGTTCCCAAATACTACCTCTTTGTGGATGAGTTTCCAACCACCAGCGTCGGCAAGGCTAAAAAGTTTGTCATGAGAGAAATTACAGTGAAGAAGCTGGGTCTGACTGAAAACAAGTAAAAAACTTGATGTACATTTTGAAGCAATGATTGCATTTTATACGTAAACAAACAGGGTACAACCAAAGCCCATGCTCAATAAATCCAAACTCACTTCTGCTTTGCCAAATTCTTAAAGTACTGTCTATCAACTTTGCCAATCATCGTTCGGGGCATTATCGGCACAAAATGCACCCCACCTCTAAGCTGCTTCTGATTGCCCATATTCTCCGCCACTGCATCGATCAGCTGCTTCTCCGTCACCTGTGCGCCCTTCTTCAGCTGCACATACGCCCTCACCAGTTCCCCGTCCACCGGATCGGGCACACCCACCACACAGACGCCCTCAACGCCCTCCACACCGTAGAGGAAGTCTTCAATCTCCGCAGGTATGACTGTATACAGGCGGTACTTGATCATCTCTTTGATGCGATCGACGTAGAAGAGGTCGCCAGCTTCGTTCACGTAGCCAATATCACCCGAGTGGTACCAGCCGTCCTCGTCGATAGTCGCCTTTGTGGCCGCCTCATTGTTGAGGTAGCCCACAAAAACGGCTTCTGATCGAAAACAGATTTCTCCTTGTTCTCCTCGAGGTAAAGCTGTTTTGCCGTTTTTCAAGTCGACAATCTTCAGCTCGACATTGGCGTTGACGGTGCCCAGGTTGCCGCACTGGAAAGTGGCCATCCAGTCGGGCCACTTCCGGTCGCCCACGGCGGCCATGCACTCGGTGGCGGCGTACACGTCCAGGCATATGACGCCGTATCTCTCCATTAACTGATTTACGACATTGGGCGCCACCTTGGAGCCGGCGTGGACCACCAACATTAGCGAGCTTAGATTGAACTGCTTCGGGTAGTCTTTGGCCAGCATTTGAGTGGCGTGGCTGGCAGAGATGGGCTGAAAAAGAGGAAACAAAGTTTTGTGAGTGAATGTTTGAGAAAAGTTTTAAAACTTACCATGTACACCAGTTTGTACTTTTCCACAGAAGCCAGCAGCGATTCTAAGTGTCCGCTTCGGTGCAGAACTACCGATTTTCCCGAGTAGATGCAATGGAAAATCATAAACAGCCCAGACATGTGCCCTAACGGGTGCCACTGAAGGACGTGCTCCCGTTTGTCCTTTTCGCCCATTTGCGTCTTCATGAGCATTGCCAGGAAGCTTCGATTGGAGTGAACGGCGGCTTTGGGCGATCCGGTAGTGCCCGAGGTAAAACACAGGCAAAAGTGGGATTTTTTTAAATCAACAGGAGTAAAGTAAGGAATTGAAGGTAAAGTGGAAGTTGTTTTAAAGTTGTTCAACGCTGAAGTGAACGATTTTACTACTGCAACTGAAAGGATTTCATGTTCAAGAAGATCCTCCTCAGTTTCCAGCTGAATGAGAATCTTCAGTTGAGCCATCGTTTTTGAATATTTTGGGTCATTGCAGGCTTTCAAAATTGTTTCCCTCTTGTCTGACCCAAAAACTAGAATAGCTCCAGAAGCGTCCCGAATGTAGTTGGTCAACTCATAGGGGCCGTTTGAGGGCGGAAGGGGACAGATGGGCAGGCCCAAGTAAACGGCTCCAAAGAAAGCAACCACGAGCTGAGCACTGTTCTCTGCAAAGAAAACCACCAGATTGCCTTGAACGGCGCCAAAACTGAGCAAAGCCGAAGCAAACTGCTGGGCCTGCTTGTGAAAGTCTTCATAAGTTAATAAAGTGTCATCAGATGGGTTTACCTGCAAAAGTTTACGTGAAATGTTTAGTGACAATTGTTTATATTTTTGGCGAAAAAACTGTCTTACAATGGCAGGAACTGAGCCGTCAATCTGTGTCACCTGATTGGCAATGTATTCTGCTACGGAAATGTTTGGGTACTGGTAACCGGGTTTCGCAGAGCAAATGATGTTCTTTTCTTCGGTTTTAAGTTGTGGTGCCATGTTGAGGGCAGTTATGGAACTGTAGATGTTATTGGATGAAAAAAATCAGCAGATCAAGAGTGCTTTTATTTACTTTCAAAACANCGCTACGGAAATGTTTGGGTACTGGTAACCGGGTTTCGCAGAGCAAATGATGTTCTTTCTTCGGTTTTAAGTTGTGGTGCCATGTAGAGGGCAGTTATGGAACTGTAGATGTTATTGGATGAAAAAAATCAGCAGATCAAGAGTGCTTTTATTTACTTTCAAAACACCAACCAATGTTTTAGGTTGACAATGTACCCGGTACTTTTGCTGCCAATATCTTTACTGAAAGAGCATTTTGACTGGTATCAATTTGATTAAAAATTAAAGTTTTACTAACATTGCAAAACCCAAGGTCGTAAAACTGTAAGCTTTTATCATTCATAACAAAAAATAGCAGATTTAATCGCAAAGTCCCTGTTTTTGTTACATAAAAATATTTTACAACTTTGACATTTTAATGAAAATTATTTTGTTGACATTTAAACATTAAAAATAGTTTTCAGTTGTTGTCAATTTTCTTCTTTTTGCATCCAAAACTACAGTTGCAAGCGTGAGCATCACAAGATTCTTTCAATCCACAGTTGTCTGCAAAATGTTCATTTTTCGCAGGGTCTGAAATATTTGGCATAGAGCAGTCAGCGCATACCCAAACTTTTCTTTCTGGAATTCCCGGAACGCATCTCTCAATCCAGTCTGGAAGGCAACAAGGGTATTCATTAGTGTTTTTGGTTAAAATGCCATTTAACGACAAGCAGATAAACCCAAAAACTAAAGAAAAAATTATCCAAGGCCCCATTTTAAGTGTTTTAAAATTTAATTAAAAATAAATTGTTGTATGTAAAATATGTTAAATCATGTTTATTTTTATATCAAAAATACCTAAAATTTTATTTATCAAGCGTAATAAAATTAAGTAATTTAAATATTTTAAGTTTAACCATGCAATAAATTTAATAAAAATAAATTGGTGTTTTATTATTACAAAATAAAAATTAGTTTAACGCCAAACAGTTTGCTATGTATTGCTAAATCTAAATTGTTTTATAATATTTTTACACTTATTTTATTTGTTATAAAAAGTTTTTTGTTTTACAAAAAGTTATTTATTTAAAATTTTTTAAACTTGAAATCACCATGGTCCAACTCATAAAATTTATTCTTTTTGTTTCACTTTTCTTTTTTAGCTTGTCAAGCATTTTAGCAGAAAAACTTGCAGAAAATCTTCTACAAACTTTCAATGATTTAAAAGTAGATTCATCAAAAACACTTATTGATAACAATTTCCAAAATTAAACAAAAATTTTTATCTTTAACAAAAAGTAATTTTGTTTTGTGTTACGACAGTAGCATAAGTGCTGCTCAAAATGTATCCGCAAATATTTGTCGATGGCGTGTAGTTGTTGACGACTACTGTCCTGTCGAAGGGTAAGGCGCTAGGTCGCAACTATTAACCTGTCGAACGACAGAAGGGCACAGGTTCACAAATGTCGTCCTGTCGAATAAGACTGAATGCTACACTACTTGTTCACTAAGTAAAGCACTCAATCCCATCGATCTAGTGCCTAGGCTCTTTTCTCGGGAGCGTAGGTAAAGGCGCAAAGTGGTCGAGTGGGCTTTCCTTCAAGGGTAGCATCTAGCTAAACAGGGGACGTGGGGACTGGCAGGGTAACACACACACAAATACGATAATAACACAATTTAATTAAACAATGCAAAACACAATTACAGGCACAAATCAAACACAATCAAAGTACAAAGTACCAAAAGAGAGAGAGGGTGTCTAGAACCTCAACTCCTCGGAACGGGGTCACAAAGGTCAAAGGGCGCTGAGCACCTTGTTCACAATTAACTCTTTTAGAGTCTGACTTGTAAAATCTAATCTAAACAGAAAGGCAACTGGTCAGTGATTTCTTCTAAGTCAGACTGGTGGTGAAATAGTTGTTTCGGATTGACGGGTGGCGTGAAGATTTTAGACTGGTGAAAAGGGTTGCTCCTCCACCTGAAAACGGTCTCCTTTTATACAAGATTGGCGATCTTCTCTCTAATTAGGGGGAATAACTCTTTCTCCCCCAGGCTCTTCAACTTCCTGTACAAACCATTTTTCAGTTGTCCAAAAACTGCTAAGACGTAGTGATCGTCAGGTCGTGGTAGTCACTTGCCATAGTGCTACTCCTGTTCTCAATTAACAGACGACAATCTTGGTGACAGGTAGCAGTTGAAGGAACAGCATGCTGCTGTGTTAGTAATCAGTTCACTAGATTAGATCTTCTGTTCTGAATCATCCTTGGTCGCCTGACCAGTGACTCACTCCAAGTGAGAGTCTCGGTTGAGCAGGTACAGGTAGAGGCTGATGAAACACAGTTAATTGCTGTGGTAATTGGCTCTCCTGAGCTTCCTTGGCAACATTCTGCTGTCCAGTGACTCAC